TACGGATCATTTATTTAACGATGTGTATTGTGTCGTGTTATATTTATGCTGCTTCGTGAGTTGCGTTTTATTTATAAGATCATATGCTGGTCAGGGAACTATAGCTGCTATCAGCTTGTTGAGCGCTCAAATTTTACGTTTACGCTACCGACTTTTGGTCGATTAGTTGAAAACTTTGTCAACTTTTCAACAGAAAGTTGATAGTGTAAACGCAGCATAAGGAGTACGTACGTGTTCGTGTCGCGGCTGCTCGTGTTCAGGCGCACGCTGACGGGCTCCTCGCAGCAGTTGTGCAAGATAACGGTCGCGCGTGCCACGCACAGCCTGTAACGCACACCCTACACGTCACCACACGCGACTAACAGGCCCTTCAGCTGCTGCTGCTGCTACACTACCGCAGGTAAGTTGTTCCATTACGAGTCAGTTTGCATTATATTTAAACTATCACCGAGCCATCAAATTAATTAAAAATGCAATATATATATATATCTATACTAATATAACAACATAAAATGCTAATAGAATATTAGCATTAAAATTCGATCTACAACCGCTTTATTGGAGCAGCATATGAAATATTAAATCATCGCAACTTTTTCATTAAAGGTGAGTATGACATTAATGTAAAATGTAAGACACATCTGTGCTAGAAAACGGGCAGCAATAGATAACTGTATTTGTGCAAAGGCCCGAAGACTCATGTGCATGATGCATGCATACTACGTGGGGATGCTAGCAGGTAGCACGGGTAGCATAGATACCTGTTCTGTGTGAAGTCGTGCTGAATGAGAGCCGGATGTCGTACGCAGTACGTCACCAGCTGCTCCAGGGTGCTAGCATCGGTAAGCAGAGCAGGCGTCACAGGCTCCGACTGCTCGTTAGCGTCCTTAACGAACTTCATCACTGGCTTCACCGTTGGCTGCAGTAAACGAAAACCCGACGATATTTAACAGTGACATTCGCTTCTTTTTTTTTTTTTAAATATGCGTTATTTTAAAACGATATCTTTGTTAAGAATGAGCAAAACATGCTAGCACTTATGTGTTTTCAGTTTCATTGCTTGCTGTCATTTCACAAGGCGCTGTCAATCCATGTCATCTACGATGTTTTCTTGCATGAATAATATCAGTTAGCTCTTTGAGATATTTTGCTGGCACGTATGTAGATACCGTGACATAGTTTCAAGCATGGCAGCGAGCTAAAGTGCTTACCGTTGGCATAGGGAGGGTACCACAGATTGTGTTTAATGTTTCTACTTGTAAATGATGTCGGCCATACACAGTTGTGCTGCTTCCCAGCTCATTCACGACGAACGCCTGCACGAGAAACATTCACACATTTAATGAAAATGTCAATGACACTGTAGCTCACCTTGGGTGTGATAGAAGAGAGAGAGAGAGGGGGGGGGGATATATAAAGCAAGAGTATAATATGGGAGAACTCCCATTATATAGCATATCTCCCATTATAAACTCTAGATAATGATATATGCATAAGTTTTGATGCGAAAATAAATCTTTCAGATCTGAAAATCTGAAATCTTGACGAGAGATGGCGCTACGCCTAAATGATCGCCATTTTGGTTTTCGAATATCGCGCAAATAAAAACAATAAAATATTCCAGTCAAATTACTGTAACGAAGAATCTAAAACACAATATTACACGTATATAGGTATGATTGTAAAGTTGTTAACCAGTTAGACAAAATAAACGTAATAGGACGTTGTCATCTCTCCCATAGGAGTAACAACTGTTTTGGGGCAAGCCTTACACATTCATATACCAATATTTAACAAAATCGAATGAATCTAGATGGCCATTTTCATTTTTGCCAAAAAGTGGGCGTGGCTCGAAAGTAGGTCGACTGGCGGGCTCCAAAATAGGACGTTCAAACCTCTCCCATAGCAGTAACAACTATATGCAATTTGCAACATGTGGGTCAAACGGTTCTTGAGTTATCGGTGACCGTAGCCAAATGTTGCAAATTTGCAATTTGCAAAATTGCAATGGACGGACGGACGTACGACACCCCATGGCAATAGCTCATCTTGACGATGTCAAGGCGAGCTAAAAATTGGAACAGCACTATAACGGTGTACAACAACACTTCGCTCCACGCTTAGCTTACAAATAGCTCTAGTTTGAACAAACTGACCTATCCGCCATGAGTGAGACACCCCTGAGTGACGCCTTGGATATTGTGGCTAGTACAGTCAAGCGCACCAAGTTTGAACATGGCTTTACGCGCACGCACGCTAAAATGACGACACCTCTGCACCAAACTGAGAACGTTCCACCGCCGATTTGATTAATTAGATAATAATTTAAACAAAGATAAATAAATAATTTCGATTAACTAGAGCTGCCTGTCTCAATCCCGTCAGACAGAAATGAATCTTCGCCACACCTTCCAGAAGACGATGACGGTCAGGTCGACGCGGACGGCGACATCGAGGGCGGCGTCCCGTCGCGTGTCCGGCTGCCTCCGCTGCTGCTGCTGCTGCTGCTGGTGGTGCTGCGGGTGGCCGGTGCGACTGAGCAGCGCGCTCATCCAGTCTGTCTGCTGGCCGTCGTAGAGCGTCGCCATCAGGAAGGCAGCGGAGTACGTCTCGTCGTCGTCGTCGCCGCCGCCGCCGCTCTCGTTGTCGCTGTATGCGCAGCTGAAGTGCACTGCGCTCGCCGCCTCATCCACACCTGCAGCATCGGCAACCGCAGGAAGGTAGAACGACGAGCTTCGAACAAACGAGACGGTTGTGAATGGCAAGCACTACAGCGCTATTAATGAAAGTACTTTAGTAGTCCGGTACCTTGATTAGATGGCAGTCTGACAGACTTGAAACACAGCGAGGTTTTCTCAGCAGGGTTTAACTTCACATCTAAAGACAGGAACAAGAAACGAATAACATACTCGCATGATGCAAATAAATGCTGTCTATAACCACAAAATTATTGCTTCAGTGCACAGATCTCGACTTCCGATTCTCGCGAGAATAACCACATGTGGAGCATCACTCATACCTCATCGAGCCTGCGATCACCGATCCCGATATATTTGTATATATATATATATAAAATTCAGTGTTTATCAATGCAGTTACGTGGAACAGAATACCTATTTAAGCATATATGTGAGCACCCGATATCTGCAACATGGGACTGGAGGTAAAACGCAGCACTTGTGTACAGCATTCGCACAGCACAACGAGCACGGCACAGAGCGCGCACGTTTAACGACACATCCTCACACCTGGCTACGTACCCTGTTTGTGTATTTGGCTGAGAGGGTGAAGAGTCCAGCTGCTACTGGCGCAGATAACCTGCGTCATGCTGACCTCTGTTATTGCACTGTCCTGCACCTGCAATAACGACGAAGATAACAGCACACCGAACACAAGGCCAGGAACATCAGTGAATATATCAACGTCCTGTTATGACCGTAGATATCATCTTAAGGACCCCGCACAAGGTGAGAATTCGGCCCGCGCCAAATTTTCAGCGTGTGCGGGGAGGCTATAATGAGCAAATGGCGCGCACGTTTAGCTCAGCGCCGTTGGCGCGCGGCCGAATTCTCACCGTGTGCCTTACATCCTGGGGCCTTACACCGTGGGCCTTTATCCATGGAGATACCAAGCCCGTAAATATGAACTTGCACTCCCAATGTGTTTTTACCTGGTTCATATTGGCCGCTTCTAGACTGACTACGAGTCCTTCTTGCCAGTCGGAATACTGTCTGGACGCGGTCGCTTGCACGGCGACGGAGTCATTCATCGTGAGCGAGGCTGTGTACCTGAGCACCCGATATCTGCAGGAAGACGGCAACAACGTCACATCCTGCGCAGCACACAAAACAGGTCGCGACGCGACAATGGTTTAACCCATTGCTTGTCGAGTTTGTGTGTTTGTGTGTGTGTGGAGGGTGGGGAGGGAAGGGATCTCTGATAAATAAGGATAAATAACTAACTGCTCTTAAAATAAGTAACATGTTACTGGAGTATACTGAGCATAGTGAGAACTGATGCAGGAGCATGCATATTACACAGTGCACGTGTAGGTCAAACAGTCGAATTCAATAGTGGTATGTTAGATATCAAAGATGACCCATCAGACAAATTAGCAGCTGGTTGCACATTTAATTACATACATTTTTTTTACACTGATCATGCCACCTTTTGACTAGAATACCCACTCACTCTTTTCAATAAATTCAAAAAGTAAGAGCAAATTTTTCTTTAGTATCACGAGAAAAGCAGAAATAAATGACAAATTTTCGTGCAAATTCGTGTAAACGCGGGTTGACGTTACACGGGGTACTAGTACTATTACTATATTTCGGTTATCTATAATCACACCTAAACCTTCAAATGAACCACACCGTAGATCGAATGATTCACAGACTTATCTAGGAGGCTTCTCACCTAAGCTTTGACGTCGTCTCCTGGGGTAGATAGTAGAAGAGCATGTGCACCTTGTGCCGGCCCGACGTATTCAACCCACGTATCCATGCCGGCAACGTGACAGCGCCACCTGGTGGCAACCCGCTTGGCGGCAGAGGCACTCGCTTGACTAAGGAGTGCTGGCATTTCGCCACACGTACCGCACCGCCGCCAGCCGTCATCGCCGTGACGCCGCCGCCTGTCGTTGCCACGTCGTCGCCGCGGTTACTGAAGGCAAGGAACTCGGGATGCGAGGTGGCGACGTAGACGTGGCGGAGAGGCGAGCGGCCGGCGTTGCGCAGCTCTAACGAGACACGCCGCAGCTCTCCACACAGCATCGCAGGCGGAACGTCGCGCAGAGACACCTGAAACATGTGCGTGACGTAGAGATACGAGCGAGCGCGACGTAGCGACATGTGCAAGCGCGTCATAAAAACACGTGCGAGCGCGACGTAGTGACGTGTGAGCGGGACATAAAAACACGTGCGAACGTGCGAGCGCGACGTAGTGACGTGTGAGCGGGACATAAAAACACGTGCGAACGTGCGAGCGCGACGTAGTGACGTGATTGAGCGCGGACATTTAAAAAGCACGTTCGCGAACGTCCTTACGGGGCCTTTGGTGGCCACCCGACGTTAGTGACGTCGTGAGCAGGACATAAAAAACACGTGCCGAATCGTGCTGAGCGCGACGTAGTGACGTTGTGAGCGGACATAAAAACACGACCCACGTGCAAAGCCCACGACACGTTAGAAACAATCGCGCTCCGAGCGCTACGTAGAAAATACACGGCCACGTGCCGATACAGTTTCTACACCTTCACGCAAACTACTCGGGCCAAATTTGGGTTTCGCAACCATGGACCCAAACTTCCATTCACTCACAGAAAAATAGGGTTCGATATGTTGAATAACAAGGACAAAAAACTAATCGTTTATAGGAGGAATACTAACCTGCAGCGCCAGGGCGATGGAGGGCCCACGACAACTGCGGTCCCAGCCTGTGGTCGTCTGCATTAATCCCTGCTCGCTTTCTCTGCCCTTTGAAGCCTGTTACGCAAAACCCTGCACCTGCAAAACCAAAATTAATCGAATTAACGCACAACATCAGCGTTTGGTCAGCCATGAAGGCGAATCCTACAACTGCAAGCATTTTCAATAAACGGTCCAGTTAAACACCAAGCGGTAAACGTGCATACATTATCAGGCTTGTTGCAAGTGCTGACAATAACGACTGCATCTAAGCCGCAGGGCCACCAGTATGAACAATCGTGCGGAGACAGGGTAACGCACCGGGCAAAACGACCAGAGGTGGCTGTGATCTCGCGCTCTCGCCTCTTCTGCTCTCCTCTCTCTCGGCCTCGATGGCTCTGCTTAGCACGCACGGGTGATCGTACTGATGAAGCTCTGGCTTCGCGCCGGCAGCAGCGAGGCCTTCGACGCGCGTTCCGGAGCGACGGGCTGCCCGTGCCGAGGCTTGTAACCAACCCTGTGATGTGCAGCTTCCCCGTCATGTGGCGGCGTCAACCTTCACGCTGCTAGCTGCAAGCGTCCAGGGCTAACATGTAACGATATTGGGGATATGCCTATCTACCCCTTTCCACCCCCCACTCTCTTCTCATCTCTCGCCCTCTCACTCTCTCACGCTCTCACTCTCAGCTCTCTCACGCTCTCACTCTATCACTCTCTCACTCTCTCTCTCTCTCTCTCTCATCTCTCTCATCTCTCTCTCTCTCTCCCAGCTCTCTCTCTCTCTGCTCTTCTCTGTCTCTCTGTAATCTCTGTCTCTCTGTTCTCTCTGTCTCTCTCTGCTCTGTCTGTCTCTCTCTCTCTCTCTCTCTCTCTCTCTCTCTATATATATATATATACATATAATACTACCTACTTTCTCATGACACGTGTAGGAAAACTGGGTAACCTAAAATCTTCAACTTTCAGAGACTTAAGCACATGAACTGATGGGTAAACTTCTATATATATTTACCGTTCTGGTATCTTGACTTCCGATCACAAATTGCTTGATCACTTCCGTAGTCACGCATGCCTCGGTTTCCTGTGAAAAAGCAGACCTATAGTTAATACCTACCGATTATGAAGTCACAAAGTCACAAAATCTATTCAACTTCGTACCTGCCATGCAGATTCGCACGCACGCACGCACGCACGCATGCACACACACATGCTCAAGGTTCACAGAATAGATGTAGGACAATTTCCTGGTCTGTCTCACCACATCATTCTGCACGTTCACACAACCAATCATAAACACTCCGATTTCACACAGGAGATATAGAAACACTACACCTGGTCCATATGACCTAAAATTCCTGTATGCTCACACACAGGCCCAAGCCCTAAAGTTTCACACGGGAGATTTAGACATGCTATGCCTATAGCCTATCCAACCGAGATTCTCATACATTTGCACACATGAACAGAAGTTGTCTAGTTTTACACAGTAGATGTAGAAACACTATCCCTGCTCCACCCAACCACAGATGCCTGTACGTTCACACACACGATCTTAAGCACCAAGGTTTCATACAGAACATTCGGTAATGGTACCTTTAGTCTATCCGATCAAGATTCGACCGAGGAGATGTAGAAACATTATTATTATACCACGTCCAAGCAAAGATTCTCTAACTTCAGATGCACGATCATAAATACTCTAGTCCAGTGCTTCTTAAACTGGTGAATGGTTCATCCAAGGATGAACGATATTATTTTGGGGGTGAATGAAAGTAAGATGAAAATTACCAAAAACATAAAGAAATTTAGTCGCGGGTGAACGAAATTGTGTGATAAAGACTCTAGGGTGAATGACACTGAAATAGTTTAAGAAGCACTGCAGTCTAGTCTCATACAGAAGATTTAGAAACGCAAACGCCCCCGAGCGTGAGAAAGCCACACCGGCTGCGTCGGGGGGCGCGCGCGCGAAGCCTCGCTCACCTGCGTGTTCGCCTTCTCGTTAGTGACGGCTTGCGTCGTGCTGACAACCTCCTCGCTGCTGTAGGCGACGGGCAGGAAGCGCCAGATGAGCGAGATGTTGGCGAGCGCGAGGGCGACGCGCAGCGTGTTGCGCAGCTGCAGCGCCACCGTGATGCTCTCTGCAACGATGCGAGAACACTGTCATGCAGGTCTCCCCACCGCGCTGTCACGCAGGTCTCCCCACCGCACTCACGACAAGCTCCCCACCGTGCTCACGGCAAGCTCGCCACTGTCACAGCTTACCACTGTAACTGTCGTTACTCACTGATAGCGTCACCTCTAACTCTAAGCACTGTGCTAACAATACTACCTATAATAGTGATAACTAATAGTGATAACAATGCTACTACTGACAACTACTGTTATCAGTACTACGGTACATGCAAGGCCGTACGCAGGAAATTTTCTGTAGGGGGGCAAATACGCAGAAAATTTTCTGTAGGGGGGGGGGCAAAGGTACTCCCCACGCCCTCTATTGCCCTATTTGTCCCATTAAAAGGCATACTCTGAAAATCTCTAGGGGGGGCAACTGCCCCTGCTGCCCCCCCGCTGCGTACGGCCCTGGGTACATGATAACAATGCTACTTCTGACAACTATTGTTATCAGTACTACCTCTGACTAATGGTGACCATCATCGTTACCTCTTCCCATTATTGCTACCAACACTACCGCTAACTGATATTGCTAAATGTTGCTGCTAACAACACTACTCTAATTGCTGCTGATATCAAATGTCACCTCTTGCTGCTGCTGATGCTAACAACACTACCTTTAACTGACACCTCTACCCACTACTGATATCAGTGCTACCTCTTGCTACCGCCGCCGCTGCTGCTATCGATGCTACTTCTAACCTGTTATCACTACTGATATCAGTGCTACCTCTTGCTACCGCCGCCGCTGCTGCTATCGATGCTAATCTTGCTACATCTAACCTGTATCAGCTACTTGTATCAGTCGCTCCTCTTGCTAACCGCACGCCGCTGCCGCAATCCTTGCTACATCTAACCTGTTATCACTACTGATATCAGTGCTACCTCTTGCTGCTGCTGCCGCTGCCGCAATCCTTGCTACATCTAACCTGTTATCACTACTGAATATACAGTGCTACCTCTTGCGGGATACCGCCCGCTGCCTGCTGCCCATCGATTGCTGTACTTCTAACCTGTTATCACTACTGACATTAACACGTTCTCCGCGAAACACGAGTCAGCTCGTTTGAACAATCAAAACGCACGTCCGCGAAACACGAGTCAGCTCATAGTGACATTTTCAAGTAGACTGCTGCTAAAATGTGATTTATTGCCGTGGTAATCATAGTATTACTCAATACATTGGACTGCCTGTGCAATATCAAATGAGGAGGCTGAGTATATAGTCACCCCAGTCTTAGAATTAAATATTTAACCTATATTTCCCCTTCATACTGTTTTTTTTTTCACACCAAATAAGCGAAAATAAAATAAATCAGTGATAAGCAAATTCCAGCACATGCGGCCGATAGATCCATTGTTAACCAAGCCAGCCGTATTGAACGTATAAGCAGAGCGTGGACAGCGGCTCGACAATCAGTCCCGTCGCGTGGCGGCGACAGCGTACATCACGACGGGTCAGCGGCGGTACTTGTGTGTTGTTCGTGTGCTGCGTGAAGCACTGGATAGTGGGGCGGAAGGCGGGGGCCGCGCGCTGCAGGCTTTGCCGCCGCCACCGCCGCCCGGCGCTGCAGGCCTTGGCCGCCCAGCCGCGCGCCCGCGCTCCACGTCAGCTGCCGTGCAGCACAAGTCTTCTCCAGCCGCTCCCACACCGCGGAACGGTCACGCCGCCTGGATCGGCTCGCCTTGCCGCCACCACCGCCTCGGTCTCCGATCTGGCTGCCAAAGCCGCAAACTCGCGACGTATCTCGCAAATTGTATGTGGAATTGCCCAAGCACGCCGCTCGCCTCCTCCCTGAGCAACGTCACTTGTGCCGTTGCGCGGATCACGACCCTCCCTGGCTAATATTTGTATGTAAGGCAAGTTGGTTAGAGAAGAGCTGGGACAGCGAACGCATACTAAGCTGAAATATATGATCAAGCATGACGTGGTGAACGCCCGTACCCCACCAGTGCGTGACAAGATCAGGCCAGTACGGCGCTTGAATGATCTGCAGACACCTAAATGTACTAAGCTACCAACGCTATATGTGAAAATCGTCGAAATACTAGAGTTGCCTTGTCATTTGCAATTTGATTCAACTGAAGACATCGCATTTTACTTAAAACTTTATGTGATACAACATATAGCATT